GAGAGCACACCCTTGTGAATGGCCTAAAATTACATGAAAACAGCTATCGTTTATATGTAAATCTATAAGTGAAAAAATTCACAGGTATGATTGAGAAATAATTTACATGTAATCTTTAACGAATTATATGTAAATCAATCACATAAAGAATAGCCCTTGTCAATTCCCCAAATTACATGAAAATGATCATGAATTATATGTAAATCTTGTTGTTATAATATAAGCCATAACCCTTGCACTTTAAGCCAGAAATCTTGCACCCTAATCAATAACACATGCACCATAAGCCATAAACTTTGCACCCTAAGTCATAATACATGCACCCAAACAGGAAGCCTTGCACCACAAGTTGGAAGCCTTGCACTCAAGCCCATACTTTTACACCCTAAGACATAAGCTTTATACCTAAGCCAAACTCCTTGCACCCAAGTCATACCCTTTACACTATAAGCCATAACCCATGCCCCTCAAGCCAGAACCTTTGTACCCAAGCTAGGACTCTTGACTTCAAGTCAGAACCCTTATACCTCAAGCTAAAAGTCTTACACCTAAGCTAAACCCCTTGCTCTCGAAGCTAGAACCCTTGCACCAAAGCTATACATTCCTTGCACCTAAACCAAAATTCTTGCACCTTAAATCAAAATTTTTACATCCTCTAGTTATTGAGTTTACATATAATCATGGAATGTTTTTTTTTTGGCAACACTTTTCGGCCACCCTTCACTTGCTAGCCGGAGCTTCGACAGGCGCATCGTTGCTTGTCAAAGGAGGGGTCGAAGCTCCAACGATTGGATTTTGTGCCTTAAAAAAAAATTAAAAAGTTAATTAACATAGAGGGCATTTCAGTCATTTGTTAAATTATTTAATAAATAAAATATTAGCTTTGATCCTTAAGTATATAATGTATTTGGTCTTTAGGATCAATTTTACTTTTAACTAAATCCTTTTCACTAATTTTCCCTATCTTAATTTATATAAATCCTTTGCGTGCGTGCGTGCGTGCATGTGAAGTGAGTTGATACCACCGATGTTAAACAGAATCTGCTGTTTCGTAGATTCTTTTCTTCTTCTTCCTACTCTCTCTCCCTCTCTTCCTTTTTGAAGTTGAGTCACTTTGAACAATTTAATCAGATATTAAAGAATATCACAAAAATGAAATATGTCGCCACTGTAAAATAAAATCTTTAAATAATGTATGTTTAAAATATTCTGTTCTTAAATTCTTGAAATTAACAATGTCTTTATTTATTCACTATTGAGAAGAGTCAAAATCAGGTCAAAATATTGTATAAAAGTGTTAAGACTAATCAGTGAAGTTGTTGGCCAAAAAAGAAACTGATTAATAAGTCATGGCTCTGTTAAAAGAATCTGTATGGAATCATAACTTCACCTAACTAATAAGTCCCAACAACTAATTTGCTTGGATAATAAAGAGTGAGGGGCGCTAAATTATTATTATTTATTTTAGAGATCAAATCATGTTTCTATTGTTAGTATATAGGATGTGTTTCCTCTAGTGTGTGCTTCAATCCTTGTAATCATCCAAAGGTTGTGAATCTAGGGACCTGGGTTTCCGTTTCAAACAAGGATCGAATTGAGCCGCAAGGGTCTTTGTCGGTGACGTTCCCATTTCTTTTGTTATTTTCGTTAATGTTAATAAATTACAAAAAATTATAACTGGTAATCAATGTAGTATTCATGTTATATATACATAACAATGAGACTTAGATGATTAAACTTAAACTTCTCATAACTGGTCATCCATGTAATATTCATGTTAAATAAGATTGTTTATACATTCATTAGAAAGTTGTTAAAAGAGGGTCCTTCTGGTTTGTTAATTACCAGATGACCTTTTTCTATAAACCAGAAGGACACTTATGACCGGCAATTAAATGTCTAAACATATCATTAATTAAAAAGTCTCATTTAACAAATTTAATGATTTTTTTCCCGTCTTCCTCAGTTCCTCTTCATAGGGTTCAATTCAACTATTTGTTGGCATCTTCTAATTGGCACCTCCCAAGAGTACATATAATCCATGCAAATTGTAGGTACATAATTGTTTATGGACAGATCCTGGAGTCCACCCCACAGATGGGCATACGGTTTATCAAAGGACTTGATCATGATATCATACGTACCCAAAATAAACGTTTCTTTTCTAGGCATTAGCCAACTGCTTCTGGGCTACTTAACCACTGTTCTCCTCAGGGACACTTCTTAATTAATCACTTAATCCTGATCATTCTGGGAGATTCTTTGAGCACCCTGTAATATTCCCGGAGAGTCGGATGAAAATAAAGGAACCAACTTGCCGTTACAGGTCTCATTCTTACAGCTGCAGATACCTTCCCTCATAATGTGGCTTTCGGATGTTAGGTGCCTTCTTCACGCTCCAAGAGGACCTGCCTCTTGTTAAATGCTGAGCCTTCAAGAGGGTCCTTCTGGTTTTCGTGGGAGCAAATATAGACAGGGTTTGTTTTTCGTAAGTGTTTGTCCCATTTTCGTGGATTTCCAGATCTGACTCTACAAAATGAGTACACTTCAATAGTTGTATTCTTTGTTTTTGAATCTATTACTTACTTGAGAAAATGGTTCCAAGATTGGATTTTTCTTCCTGGTGGACAAAGGAAACCCAGAAAGGAACGCCTGTGGTGGTGAAAATGGAGAACCCCAGTTTCTCTGTTGTGGAGATTACTAGTGCTGACGCTGCGTTTCAACCAGTAGAGAAAAGCAGAGGCAAGAATGCTAAGCAAGTGACTTGGGTCTTGCTTCTCAAGGCTCATCGTGCTGTAGGCTGTGTCACTTGGCTCGTCCATGTTCTGTGGGCGTTGCTTGGAGGTGTTAAGAAGAGGATGATTTATAGGCAAGGAGTGGATGTGGAGAGGGACAAGTTAATGAAGGGCAAGTTGCTATTTAGGGTCATTAGGGTATTTTTAGTGACATCCTTGGCGATTTTGGCTTTTGAGATTCTTGCTTACTTCCAAGGATGGCATTTTCGAAATCCCAGATTACACATTCCTCGGACTTCTGGTTTGGAAGGGTTCCTTCATGCGGTTTATGTTGCTTGGTTAACAATTCGTGCTGAGTACATTGCTCCCCCATTACAGGCACTTTCAAAGTTTTGTGTCGTTCTATTTCTTATCCAATCCGTGGATCGTATGCTGCTTTGTTTGGGCTGCTTTTGGATTAGATACAAGAAGATTAAGCCAACGATTGATCAGGATGCTTTCAAAATTGATGATATTGAAGGATCTGCATATGATTATTATCCCATGGTTCTTGTGCAAATTCCTATGTGTAACGAGAGGGAGGTAAAAGATAATTTAATCTCTGATACTTTTATCTGATAACTTAAGCTGATGTTCTTAGTTAGGCTAGTAGCAAATTTCAACTATGTTGTCTTCAGTTTATAATGTGCATACAAAGGACAGAATTAACGATTGGATTACCTTATTCGCAGTGTCATAATAATATAGGAAAGGGAGGAAGGTAATATATATTTCTACAGGCAGCTGCATTTTTTCACTGGCATGCAATCATACACTGCCATCTAGAGAGAAATATTGTAATTGAAAGTTCATTAGTTTCTTAAAATAGTATTTGAATCTTTAGAGATCAGAAGCATAGATTCTTTCCTCGAGTGCTTACCGAACAACTAGAATGATCAATTCCTTTCTGTCAGTCAGTTTTATTGATAGACATCCCTTCTTTGATAAATACGGAATTTCTATCCTTTATGTGGAAGTTTGGTAGCTCTGTTAACCAATCTGAAGTAACATGTTGAGATCACTGGATAGAAATGTAATATTTTGGTTTCTGAATATTCTGAGTTCTTGCAGGTGTATGAACAGTCTATTTCTGCAGTCTGCCAAATTAATTGGCCAAGGGACCGTCTACTGGTTCAGGTTCTTGATGATTCTGATGATGAGAGCATACAGTGGTTAATCAAGGCTGCGGTCACTAAGTGGAGCCAAAAAGGAATCAACATAATCTATCGGCATCGCTTATTGAGGACGGGCTATAAAGCTGGCAATCTTAAGTCTGCTATGAGCTGTGACTATGCGAAGGATTATGAATTTGTAGCAATTTTTGATGCAGACTTCCAACCAAATCCTGATTTTCTCAAACAAACGCTGCCATATTTCAAGGTTTAAAACGAGAACATCCAGCATTTTCAGTAAGTAGTTTTTTTTTTTATGATAAAAAGAGTGTCCTACTTATTTTACTGCCTGTGTGCCCTCGTTTTTATTACAGAACAATCCCGAACTAGGTTTGGTCCAAGCTAGATGGGCTTTTGTAAACAAGGAAGAGAACTTGTTGACTCGGCTCCAGAATATTAACTTATCCTTCCATTTCGAGGTGGAGCAGCAAGTCAATGGGATATTTCTTAACTTTTTTGGTTTCAATGGAACTGCCGGGGTTTGGAGAATCAAAGCTCTAGAGGAGTCTGGGGGCTGGCTCGAGAGGACCACGGTAGAAGATATGGACATTGCTGTACGAGCTCATCTCAATGGCTGGAAATTCATCTTCCTGAATGATGTAAAGGTGATCATTATTTGAATAAAAGTTGTTTATGTATCTGAATCATTCTTATATAGCTTGAAATGACTAGGTCTCTTATACATGTGTGATCGCTTCACAAATTTCCTGAAATTTTCAGGTGCTTTGTGAAGTTCCTGAGTCCTATGAAGCTTATTGGAAGCAGCAACACCGCTGGCATTCTGGCCCTATGCAACTTTTTAGATTGTGCCTTCCAGCAATTTTAAGATCTAAGGTAAGTCCCATACTCTTGATGTGATAGAAAAGAAAAATACAAAGGAAGAACGAGTTCTTAGGGCTTGCAAGTATTGTTTAATCACTTGTTTATGATACGCACTGCCTCAAGAGCCTTGAATTCTCCACTACTGCAGGTATCCGCGTGGAAGAAAGCAAATTTAATACTGCTATTCTTCCTGTTGAGGAAACTCATTCTTCCATTTTACTCCTTCACCTTGTTTTGCATAATTCTCCCTCTAACCATGTTTGTCCCAGAGGCAGAACTTCCTCTTTGGGTGATCTGCTATGTGCCTGTATTCATGTCCTTCCTCAACATTCTGCCAGCCCCGAAATCTTTCCCTTTTATCGTCCCCTATCTCCTCTTCGAAAACACCATGTCTGTCACTAAATTCAATGCAATGGTATCTGGACTCTTTCAATTGGGCAGCTCTTATGAATGGGTTGTAACCAAGAAGGCTGGGAGATCATCAGAGTCTGATCTACTTGCTGCTGATAAAGAAGCAAAACCGACGCAACAAATAACAATCTGTGGAAGATCTTCTGAGTGTGAACTTGGCAAAACGAACCAAATTAAGGACCAAAAAGACGCTGTTGCATCGCCTGTAAAGAAAGCTAATAAAATATATGTAAAAGAGCTGACTTTGGCATTCCTCCTACTCACAGCTTCAGTCAGGAGTCTTTTATCAGCACAAGGAGTTCACTTTTACTTTTTGCTCTTTCAAGGGGTTACCTTCCTCCTTGTGGGCCTTGATCTAATCGGAGAGCAGATGAGCTAGGCTTTGATTCATTACACAAACCCTGCTTCTATAGAGCCAAATTGCATTCTAGCAGCAAGATACTGCATGCAGTTGATGAAAGACTACACTTTTCGTCTTCTCATGTTTGTAGTAAATTTTTACCGTCCATCTGGACAAAGGAACACAGCAAATACCCTCATTTGCACAACTCACCCCTCCAGGATTGTAGGGAATCTCTTTCATAGGTATTGAATTCTTGTTGGCAGTTGCAGGGAGCTGCAAAAATTTATGATCTCTTCTTACATGCTCTTTAGTCAATATCTGTCCTTGAAATTCAAGACACTTAGTTTCCGTGGAAGCCCGATGTTGCTTGTTGTGTTTCTGTTACTGTTTCGAAATATTTTGCTTTCATTTTTCCAATGATGGATTGGACAAGCCAAACATATATCTGTAAATGAGTTCCGTTTATCTAATATGAACTTTATTTGCCCAGTCCTCGATCCTTCAGGTGGCTTGATCTTTGATCATGTCACTTGCGCCTCTCTCTCTTATAGGGTCACAATCTCTAACTGCAGACAGGGCATTGCTGGAGGGAAGGGGATGTCCGGTTTTATTGCATAAAAGGAAAGGGGGGAGAGAGAACCATCTGACTAAACCTAACATGATATAGGGCGTAATCTAAACTTGAAACTTCGAGTACGTGTGTTTAAGTGTTTTTAAGGTAAGAATTATGTAGCTAGTGTCTTAATGATGCCCATCTTTAAAATGCAATGAGATTCATTATTTATGCTAACTCTGAGATGTATTTAATTATAACCGTCACATAACATGAGTATGGTAAGTGAGGATTTTTTATGGTTGAATGAATCTATAATACTTTTATAGCTTTAGCCTTCTGGTATAGGATCTTCCAATTGGCTGGATGGAACGTTTTTGGCTTTCAGTTTCAGAGTTTGGTTGAAATTAGTTATTGTAACGGTATTTTTATTTACTCCCTTCGATTTTATTTATAAATCATATTTTAAAAGATTTATTTAGTCTCATTTATAAATCACAGTATGGCTTTTTAAGTAAAAGTTGAAAAGTATTTTTAAAATTATTCTTTATAAGAGAGAACAAGTAATATAAGATCACTTTTTGAATTTATTATATAAGGACATTTTTAAAATTTTACACACTTTTATTTCATATACTTTTTTGCATTGGCATTGATAAGGTTGGTAGAAATGATTTATAAAGAGAACTAGAAGAGTGTATATTTTTAAAAAAAATTAGTTGGTAAACTGAAATTGATTAAAAAGTAATTGAAATTTTTTTTAAAAGTGGCACTTGTCAGCTGTTTCCCGATGTCTGAAGTTTTTGGGGGAAAAAAAAAACATACAGCTTTCCCCGTTCTAAAAGTACTTTTTATTTTCCAAAAATCATAACCAAGTCCAAACACACCATAAAAAATCAATGTTCGGAGAATCTCGTGTGTGGGCTCCAACATGAGTGTACACTAACAAAGCCTAGACCCATTAACCCATTCGTGCAGTGAAAAGCAAAATCTCGATTTTGGAAGTCCGCAAGACACTGGGTAGAGGACGGAGACGTGCCTTCATCGCACCAACTTTTTGGGTCATCGTGTAGCCCATCTCCACGGAAGGAGATCCTCTCCTCATCCCTTCTCTCCTTCTCATCTCCATCTCCACCTTCGGTTAAAAAATGAAGGGCTTGGATTCAATTATTTTATAAAACAAGAATCATAATATTATATTAAAAAATAAATAAATAATTTTAAATTATTAAAATTTAATCTTCATAGTTTTTAACTGCGATAAAATAAATAAAAAAATTTAATAATAGTATACAACTGTAAACTGTGCAAGTCAAATTTTAACAATTTAAATTTATTTTTATTTTTATATGATAATATGATAATTATTTTATACAACAAACAAATCTGGACCATTTATTTTGTTGTTTAAGGGTGGGGATGAGGATGAAGGGGAGAAAAGGAGAGAAGGGATGAGGAGAGGATCCGAACCTCCATCTCCACCACTAATCCTTGCATAAACATAGGAATCTTTAACATTAAATACTACTCGAGACTCACTGTTCTTTAGAATCACTTAACGTTCTAATCCTAGCTCTGATTCTTTAGAAGCACTTAACTTACTGTTCAAGATAGTGGTCAAGACCATCCTTTTAGAGAGATCGTTCATTCAACCAGGGATCTCATTTATGATGGTTGTGATTTAGAGTTGCATTTTAGCCGTAGGGAAAGCATCGATTGGGCGGACATCTTGGCGAAGGCTGGACATAGATCTGGTTATAACACAACTGTCTTCCTTGATATTCCTTCAGATTGTGTTCATTCTGTTCTGAGGGATAAGGCAATTAGTGTCTGATTTGCTGTAACTTCGTTGCTGTTTCCTATTTTCAAGCGTTACCTTGCCTCTGTAGTAATAATAATAACAATAACAATAACAATAATAATAAAGATACTATTCGTGACTTGTCTAATTGAGTTTATAATTATATAATGCATTTGAGGAAAATTTCCTATGCCTCATTCTACTTACGATTTTATAGCCCAGAACGAATCCGATGAGTAAAAGACTGATTTTATTTGTGACACATTGTCCATGCATGTGCGGTATTTGTTTCTATTTCAGCACACTATGAGCATCAACATATTTACGTAACAATCAAAAGTAACCTCATATGGTCGCTGCTAGATATTTGGTCCCCAACAAGCCCCTAGACTGATAGACAGGGAATCAAAAGCTACAAGAAACCTGCTTCAGCCCTTGAGTTAAGGGGAATTTTTTGGACCTTTGATCAAAAGTCCACCTTGGATGGGTCAGGTGGAAATTGATGAGAGGGTGGTAGGATTTTCTTCTTGCTTTGTATTTTTTCTCTTCATTGATCCCCTGTTCTATTTGTGTTTGGGCCCGGGGGGGGGGGGGAGCTACAAATAAGCCTGTAAAGTAATCATGCCAAAAGAAGATAATAATAATAATAAGAGGGGCACGCTGAGATGAAAACAGATTACAAATCATTGTTAATTAGGTAACCTAAACAATGTATCTTAGCATCAACCAACTTGAAAAGAGATGTGTCAAAGGAGAAGCACCGGAAAAACCAGCAGTAATTCCCAGCTTATACTAGAAATGTGTCCCATGCATGAATCAAATCAAAAACCAAATTGGATGTCCAAATTCATCCAACAGAGAACCACAATCTAATGCTCTTTATACTATAACTAGTAAAGCTAACACTTGCCTCCCTCTCAGGATCAGCGAAAGCTTCAAGCAATATTAACGTACCTTAGCAAAGCTAACAAACAGTCACCAAAGGTCAGGCAACCAAAATAATCTAATCCAGGACCACATAATTAAGGGTGGGGGAGTGTGAGAACTTTCAGTATCTGAGGGTTGAACCATATGCCTGACCAGCAGCTGCTTAGCCATGCAGTTCCACTTTTTGGACAGAAGCCATGCAGTTCCAAACTAATGTATTGTAGAAACCAAAAGATGGATACAAAAATCAAAGGTCGAGGGGTTCCTTCTTTAATTTCTTTCTTTCTTTTCTTTCATTTTTTTTTCCTTTGGGGAATAATCACTGCAAGATGTGGAATGCTTCAGAAAAGAACAGTAATTCGGCTTAATCAACTATGCAATTGAGTCTTAAATCCTAGCTGAACTTTACTTTCAATCCAGATCATTTAGATTTCTTTTCACGTGGAAGAAAAGCCCAAAACCCACTTCCGTAGAACATAAGTACCTGCCAGAAGTATTTGATGCAGCCCGTCAACCCTTTTTGAAGTTATAATTAAAACCATTAGAGTTTGAGGCGCACACATCACAAGTGGGGAGAGACTAAATGAAACAGAAGCAAGCAGCCGGCTGGGACCCCCAACCATTCAAAAATTGAAGATCCCAAAGAAGGGGAGCCAAGAATCATGTCCCATCAACGCACAAAATCAATGTAGCAGTACCAGAAGACACCTCAACACGGGGAAAAATAGAGCATAAGTTTTGGCAGAAATATGAAACTTTTTCAACAGGTGAGAAACAACTACCTTGAAAAGACACTTTTACCTGTACGGAAACTAAAAGTACTCAGCATACATAATAGAACATAACCTAGAAAATTCTACAAAGTAATTAATCCAATCTAAGAGTAGAAGCACAGGGCGTTGCCTGATTAAACAAACTCGTACTGCAATCTGAGCACACCAAATCAACAAAATCTCCTTATCCTCTTAACAATGGCAACTCCAAGTTCTCATAAATCAGCTTCTACTGCGGTGCCGTTCCCTTACTCCATTTCTGCAAATTAATCAGCATTTTATGTCAATAGAAATATAAGAGCAACACTCATGCCGTATAATAAACTACACTTAATAAAACAGGTCCTGCTAAGGCATGAGGTCTAGCTAACAGACTCTGAAAGGTCAACAAGACACCATATACAATAACCTCAAATCCAAGATCGATAATGGGGGAGAAAGCAATCTGATTAAACATTTAGCAGACACGATCAAAAACTTATGTTTGTCTGTCAGAGAGAAAGGAAAAGTCTAAAACAATAAGTTAGAGTACATAGGGAAGTAGCCTAACCCATTTGTACATGGTAGATCCTCACGTCCTTGGTAAGGAGGTGATCTGCTATAGCTGCGTCCACGAGGTGACAAACTGCGGCGCTTAGGGCTAGGGGACCTACCCCCACGAGGACTGTAACTCCTGCTTGATATCAATGAATTATCAAAGAACACTACAAAGAATACGTAATGCTTTATGCATGTAATAAAATCATCAAGTTTAACCAGAACCAATCTTTTTCTTCTTATTCTAATAAACACAGCCAAATTGCTTTATTTATAAGATGAATGATACCAAGGTTTTTTAATTTTAAAAACAAATTCACTGTCTAGAGCTATCGGAGTCTTTAACTAATATGAAAGTTCCTGGAAAGTAAAATTTTAACTTGCTAACAAATGCAGGGAGCACAACTACCAGACTATGCTGCACAATCACAAGAAAATACAACTACTTCCCAAATATTTGTTTTCCTTCAGGAGAGACAAAGTGTCCTGCCGACATACTGGCAGAGGATCAGAGAACCTATGGGAATCAGTCTCACCTCCGCCCATAACTAGGGCTCCTGCGGTATCGAGGTGGACTGCGGCTACGTCGTCTTCCTGAACCACCACGCATATGACATTCGCGAGCAAAATGACCAGGTTCACCACACTCATAACATTTCAAATCAGAGCCACCAGAGCGACCACGGCCACCTCCCCCTTTAGAGTTGTGAGAAAGCTCCACCCTCCAACCATTCTTACCTGCTCCAAAAAACAAATACAGAAGGCATGTTAAGAATATAATTTTTTTTTTTAAAGAAAACAAAACTAACAGAAAAGGATATATTGTCAAGAAATGCTTCTCAAAGGTTCAATGGAGCAGTTATATCGATTGATCATCTATTCAAGCACATATTACTCA